AAGTGGCCATCCCCAGATCGCCTGGACACCCATCACGCTAAAAGCCTGTCACATACAAAACAACATAAATGTCTCTTTTTGCTGCAGTCTTTTTTGACTCTCGAGATTTCAGACTTTTAACTTCTTATTTCTATAATTTATGATTGTATAGTAGTTGCTAAAGCATAGAGATAAAGACAAAATTAATTTGCATTTAAAGTATCAAGAAGCTTTCATTCCCTGAAATATGTTGTTCATCTAAGGCAAGGCTGTCATTAAGGGCTGTAACCTGCAACACCTGTTACAGCTGAGTGTGATGCTTTGTGTGAACTTGATAGAATTCATCCACAAAGTTGTAAGTTTGCTACCGTTGTGGAGAACAAGGCTACAGGTGACTCAAAACTTAATGACAGCCCTGTAAGGAACGTAAAATTTGGTCTTGCACAAGCAAACTAACTTTGGTATTGGCGCAGTAAGACTCTGTTCCCCAGGGGCTCCTGCTTTCTCTCCAACTTATCTTTGCAGGTTTTCCCCACTGTTAAACTTTCTATTTCCCTACAAGCTGCCCCTGAGTCTCCAAGGATCAGCCAGGCCCCCTTCCCTTTGTCCAATAATTATCAACTCACATATATATTAAAGTTTTACATTGTATGCGAGTCATCTCATTCCAGTAACTGTTAAGTATCATCTATTAAGGACATTCGCGCTGATTGTTTCTGCACATCCTTACTGCACAGGCAAATTCACATGCCACGTCATGCGTGAGAGCGCATGCTAAGTAATAAAATGGACATTTGGTAACCCCTATTTTTCTTTTGATGGATCATTTTCTCCACCGATTTTCTCTACCGAAAATCTATAGACTAAAAGTTTGAAATTTTTTTGCACAATGCACCATCGAGTTCCATTCTTTTTAGCTCTTCGTTTATCTGTGTGACAGTTTCAAATGCCTCTTGAAGGGTTAAGTTTTGTGAAAACAGTGGTAACATTTGAAATAATTCACACAGACCCACTTCTACAAAATATGACTATGACTGTTTGCCTCTGTTGACTCACCTTTAATATTTTTTTAACTATAAGCCCCTGCAAATAGCCATGCTAAATTACGTGCACCAATTTTTCAAAATCAGGGTAGTTTCCCACATGCTTTATCTCTGAAACAAAGTTGGTGACCCCCATTTTTTTTTTTTTTTTTTGCATTTCTGACACAAGTAACTCATTATCTGATTGCAAAAATAATTTAAAAGAAATCTATTGACTGGAAAATTTTTGCACGCACTTCCTTAATGTTAATTGTAGCTCAGCTGACATTGACTAAATTGGTCTTTCAAGCTATGCACAATTCCAGAAAGTATCCATACCTACAGTATATACCACGGATGGGTTTTTGGGATTCAAAGGGCAAGGGAGGTTCTTTGAACATGAATTCCAAAGGCAAGGCCCAGGGATACTCATAATTGGAATTCTGAAGGCATGTGGGTGGGGGGGAGGGGGGGGTGAGGGGGGGACAAGTTAAGAAAGGAACAGACAAGAGTGTGAACACACCATTGAACTGACAACACTGCTGACATCTGTGACAAGCAGGAAACAAGACAAATGTAGATCGACTGGACATATGCCCGCATTCATTTACAGAAGAAAACTGATAAAACGTGGGTTATACATCAAACTCTAGAGGTTTTAAAACTGATGAATTTCTTGTCAAAGCCTGTCAAACCTAAGACATTATGACCACTGACCCACGAAGCCAACACAAACTATATGCCATAGCCAGCAACACATATTCATAAAGATACCGTGAAATGGTGTCTGATAAAGTGAATGTCATTCATAAACGTTGAAGGTGAATCAGAAAGGATTTGCCTATACATGTAAAAATTTTCATTGTTAAAACACAACAACTGAAATCTTTAATTCTTCCCTAGTTTAGTCAAAATATAGTCACAAAATTGCGACTGAAGAAGAGGAAGTTTAGTGGCCAAATATTTGAAATTGCGAATGTATGCATAACTTAAGTCCTGCAGACAGTTGTTTGACTGAAAATTACTTACAATAACTTCTAGGAAGATAGATGTAAAAGCATAAAAATCCCTTTTCATTGGAGGTCGTAAGGAGTCAAACCAAGGAATTCCAAGAGAGCTGAAGTAAAAAAAAAAAACAAAAAAAAAAACAGAAATGAACGTGCAGTAACGGCGAATTGATTCAAAATAAGCAATTGAAGAGGGCAAGGAGAAATTCGAATTACTCACTATAAATTCATAGCTAGGAGNAGTTAAGAAAGGGACAGACAAGAGTGTGAACACACCAATGAACTGACAACACTGCTGACAACTGTGACAAGCAGGAAACAAGACAAGCGTAGATTGACCGCACATATGCCCGTATTCATTTACAGAAGAAAACTGATAAAACGTGGGTTATACATCAAGCTCTAGAGGTTTTAAAACTGATGAATTTCTTGTCAAAGCCTGTCAAACCTAAGACAGTGACCATTGACCCACTAAGCCAACACAAAATATATGCCACAGTCAGCAACACATATTCATAAAGATACCGTGAAATGGTGTCTGATCAAGTGACTGTCGTTCGTAAATGTTGAAGATGAATCAGAAAGGATTTGCCCATACATGTAAAAATTTTTATAGTTAAAACACAACAACTGGAATCTTTAATTCTTCCCTAGTTTAGCCAAAATGTTGTCACAAAATTGCGACTGAAGAGGAGGAAGTTTCATGGCCAAATATTTGAAGTTGTATGCGTAACTTAAGCCCTGTAGACAGTTGTTTGATTTAAAATTACTTACAAAAACTTCTAGGAAGATAGATGTAAAAGCGTAAAAAAACCATTTTAATTGGAAGTCGTTGGGAGAGGTGAATAGTACTTGCTAATCACCTCCGAGTTAACCAATCAGAGCACACGAAAAGCACTATTCACTTATGTGGTATATACTAATGTCACGTATTAACCGTATTCAACGTCTGGGCTGCCTGTGCTTTGATTGACATGTTACGTCCTGCATAATCAATAATAATTACGGCCACAACCAACACTTTCGATACTTTTCATACCGGAAAACTTACAAAATGGAGATGACACACATTTTACCACCGTCTATTTCTTAAATGATCAGATTTAAGCTTAAGCTTATTATAATATATCGATTTCGATAAAGTTTGAACAGTGCTCACCTCATTCTGGATGATTTTTGAACTCATTTGAATCACGCGCCAACTTTTNTCCTGCATAATCAATAATTACGGCCACAACCAACACTTTCGATACTTTTCATACCGGCAAACTTACAAAATGGAGATGACACACATTTTACCACCGTCTATTTCTTAAATAATCAAATTTAAGCTTAAGCTTATTATAATATATCGACTTCAATAAAGTTTGAACAGTGCTCACCTCATTCTGGATGATTTTTGAACTCATTTGAATCACGCGCCAACTTTTTTTATTAGTTTGCTGTAGTTTGCTACGGGAGTCGAACACTTTTTGAAACAATCGGCATCATGCTTCACCTGGGAATAAATTTATATTGAATGGTAAATTGAAAGTTCTCCCTACAAAGGAAGAATGAGACGAAAAGCACATTTAGTTGGCTTATTGGCCTTGTTCACAACATGGCGGAACTGTATTTGCAAAGCAGGTTGGGAGGTTTTCTGCTACTCGCGAGTTCCTCACGTATGGCCCACGCGAGTCTCGAGAATACCTGGAGGAGTACGGAAATAAACATTACACTGATCGCACGTCGAATATGAAATGATTTTTTGAAAATAAAATACAGTCAAACGACAATAATTAGCGATCCCAGAAAATAACTTGAGGTTAACAAATCTCCATGATCCAA